TCACTAATCCCGCTTATTTTATCAAATATTTCTCATGTTTATTTATTTTATATTTTTGTATTCTTGATTTCTGATTATTTATGTTTTTCATTTATGTAAATTGTACTCTGAGATAATCTAATCCTCCTGAATTATTACTCAGATATAATCAAAATCTAATCCAATATTCCTATAATCCTCAATTGATCAAAGATATGACTCAACTAATTAAGAAATCAAAAATAATCCTAATCCTCAACTGATCAAAGATATGACATGATTCACTCAATAATTTTTAGAAAATCAAAAACCTGTATTAACTGACTACTATATAAATCGCAAATTCAATGTCATTTCATAACCATTCCTCGACACTTCACCGGTTCGTGTCAATTGCGTAAGTTTTTGTTTTACTTGTTATAATTTTTCACATCATTGTTAGCGTTATTTATCACCTAAATATATATTTTTTTTGCATTTTTCATCTTACTTTATATATCCCCAAACCCAGTTTGACTTATTTGCATAATTTGATCCCAACATTTTCACGCTAGCATATACAGTTTCCTCCTGTTACATCCGCTGTACATTCCCTTCTAACCCCAAGTTATTTTCATTATGCTCCCCAACTACAACAACCACTGGCAAGAAGCCAGAAATAGAAACACTAATCGTCAACCAAACCAATATCACGTACCCTACAACGGCCCTGTCTTCCATCGACCTCTACCACCTACCAATCGCCGACCACCAACCAACCCATCCAGCTATATCCCCACCCCATCGCCAACCTACCTACAACACAGCCTACCAATCAAGAGGTAACCATCGACCTGACCAACAACAGAAACGACTACCAGCCCACCGACGCCAACCAGTCCCCACTCATAAGGAGGAAGAACCCTTTGTGAAGGTGTTCTTCCAAGTTTTGCAGTGCCTCCATCATTTGGCAATCCTTACCCTGTATCCAGACCTTCCCCTCCTCGAACCAGATCCCAGTCCGTTCCCAATGCTACAATTCTAACAACTACCAAACCAGTACCAATCACACCGTCGACGACCATTATATCCGCTACCAAACCGTATTATCACCAAACCAAGGACAAATCATTATGGAAACTACCTGCTCTAAAGAAATCACGTACCCTACAACGGCCCTGTCTTCCATCGACCTCTACCACCTACCAATCGCCGACCACCAACCAACCCATCCAGCTATATCCCACCCCATCGCCGACCTACCTACAACACAGCCTACCAATCAAGAGGTAACCATCGACCTGACCAACAACAGAAACGACTACCAGCCCACCGAC